TCTATCTATCTATCTATCTATCTATCTATCTATATATCTATCTATTTATCTATCTATATATCTATCTATCTATTTATCTATCTATCTAACTATCCAAAAATCTATCTATCTATCTATCTAACTATCCAACTATCTAACTATCTATCTAGAAAATGAACAATTAAACAAACACCAAATAAAAACTCTCAAATAAACCAACTTTTCATTAATTTCTCTGAATATAAATATAATGTTTAAAATCCGGGATTTATGAATTTTTTATATTTAAATTTCAAATATCATTTAATCCTGAATTTTCACTAAACAAATCATGTTTTTAATGCTCCTCTCCCCTTCTCTTCATAAGTATTCAATAGATTTGAAATTAAAATTTGGGTTAAGGAATTGAATCTTTACCACAGACATAAATTTTCTCTAGTCAAGATTGTTGCAACCTGATGGTGTAAACCTGTGATATTTCAAAGTTGAATAGAATTCAATTATTGTGAAAAATATCTTAGGTCTAAAAATTGGGCTGCTAATATACGAAGGGTTTCGAAAATCAGAGTTTGAGGCAAAACCTTACATCCTTTGAAGATGTCAAAATTCAGTGAGAAATTTTTCTAAAAGAATATTAAAAAAAGGGAATGTTTACGAAAAAAGAGAGACTTAAAAAAATACACATCTTTTGTTTACCTGCTAATTTTAATAGCAATAATTGAATTTTCTTTGATCATAAATCTCCTGTATATCGAACTTTTAAAAAAGTCTGCTTTTTTCAAAGATATTTTTTTTTGCTTCGTAAGTTTTGAATTTGGCGGATTTTTTTCTGTTTTGTTTGCGGATCTACGAAATTTCAGAAAAGCCCCAGTTTTTGGAGTAATCTTTAACCCTGTCCAATTTGGGCTATTTTTGTTCAATAACGATAAAAAAGGGCAAACTCATGGGGGGGAGGAAAACACCCCCCCCCATGATTTTGCCCTTAATGTAGAGATAGGTGAGTCTGTTACATGTCCCTAGTCCATTTTTTCAAGAACTGCTCATAAAAAAAAATTAGAACTTTTACTTTAATAGTTAAGGGAAGATTTTTAAAGAGTTCAAAATATTTGTAGAAAAAAATTTCAAAAATAGTTCTTTTTACTTTTAACAAATATTAACATATGACACATGTTATCAAGGGCTTTTCATATATATAAGTCTTAGCGCTGATGTAGCTTAGATAATAAAAAGTTATAAACCATTTCTTATTTTTTTGAAATACCAACCCGCCGTTTTACCGTCCTCCACCCTATAAATCAAAATAAAAATTTTAGCAAAATTTGTTTACAACTATTATGTTGAAAGTGAAGAAGTTTTAGCGTTCTTCTCTATCTAGCGTTATTCAGGAAAAACCACAGGGGTGGGTGGAACCCCCCCCCCCCCATCGTGATAGGGTTAGAATTCCGAATAACCCTGAATGAACTCTTCCTGGGCCAGATCCGATTAGATGTATTGACGTTTATTGGATTAAAGCTAAATATTCATAGATTATTAAGTTAATTTAATGTACTTAACTTTTAGTTTGTATGGAGAAAAAAACATCTTCAAAAATATCCATCTCATATATTAGTTTCTCCTATTGGATTTTCTTATATTTGTAGCTAATCGATCAGAGAATTTAGTAAATATCCATACATAGGGTTGGAGTTCTAGAAGGGTAATCTAATTCATTTTCATATTTATCAATTATTGATTAATATTATATGTACATAAGCATCTCTAGGGTTTTAGATCAAGTTTTTCTATCCTTCAATCATTGAACGGGAATAATTGATATTATCTGATTGAAAGTACTCAATTTTTTACAGGTTTTTATTAAGTTAAGTTAATGTCGGGGAAAGGGTTCCGTCAATTTATCAAAATAAAAAAAGAAAAAAAGAAAAATGTTTATTTTATTTTTTAAAAAGTAGGAAGCCCTGTTTGTGCGATGAACCCTTTCGAAATTATTATAATAATTTGTTTCATCTAAATCTAAAAATTACCTAAAAATAATTCCGTTTACGGCAATTTAATATAATTATTTAAACCTAGAAGAAAAGGTTGAGACAATGTTTTACTTTAAAACAATTTCTTTATAAATGAATGAAAAGGTTGTTCAATCATGACATTCTTTTTCATCTCCCCCCCCCCCCCC